TTCGGCGCTCACACTCGGACCATCCAGGCGAGGCATGTGGTTCGAGGTCTGCCTAGATTCAGATGTGAAACACAAGCAAGCTCAAGACCTCCATCAAAACACAGACACGTAGAACTAAGAACCTGCTAAGTTGGGTGGAGAATCTTAGTTTAGGGACGTTTAAGGTTTACGGTCTCTTAGTTCAGGGTTCAGGTTTTAGACCCTCAGGGAGGCTGTGGGAGTTTGGACAAGTAGAATAAGTAGAGCAGGGGCCTTCGACTGCTTTATTATTATCGCAGAGAATGTGTTAACTACTCCCGCAAGAATGACATCAACCTTGCCGAGATGAAACAGCCCTGTGTGCTTCCCCGTGTTTGCAGAATATGAGAGGGAGGGAGGGAGAGAGAGAGAGAGAGAGAGAGAGAGAGAGAGAGCTTGAGCTTGCGTGGTTAATTATATTAAGTTGTGTTGCTTTCTTGGCCCCAACACCACCTAATACAGTACCTCGCAAAACCGCTCGCACAACAAGCTCTGAGCAACAAGCCCCGAATGCTCCCCAAGCAACCCTCCGACTGCAAGTTTGTGCCCTTAACCCGGAGCTGCGTGAACACACCCTCTGCTGGTTCCCCCACCCAAAACCCAAAACCTGAGCCGGGAGGCTACGGCATAGATCCCCACCGGCACGTCTGCCCAGAAGGACTGCGATGCGAGTAGCGACCTCATCGCAATGAGAACTCCAGAGAGCTTTGTTTTCCCGTCTGGACAGCTTGCACTTCGCCAGACATGGGTCTGAGCTACACTGGATTGTGCTGGATAGAAAATGTAAGCAGCTTTAGACAATTTTGCACTCGATGCACAGACGGACGTGGAGATGATGTTGAAGCTTGGAAGCTCTCTCATTGCACTTAGTTTTCTCTCAAATCCTGCTGTCCCCTGCATCTTGGCCGGAATGCTGCGTAGCTGTACATGAGACCATACACCATAGGGCATTCTACTAGGCTGTACTGCCGCATGCCTTGGCATCACACGGCGGTACTGCAACTTATGGTGGTGCGCTGCGCCTTCCGCCATCCCCGCCCGGCCGCATATGATATCACCCCCTGCCACTTGCCAAGCCTACCCACAACCCGCCACCCAAACACTCCTCAGAGAACGGAGGAGAACAAGACAAGACAAAGCCCAGCCATTCCACAGGTGGCGGAAGGGGGAAAGCCCATAGGCAGGGATGATTCGGGGGAAGGCTGCAGCCTAAACGGCCTAAACTCCGAAGCTCAAGATTCAAGCCGTTCCAACTGAGCACAAGGGGGATAACCATCAACAGGGACCGATGCGGGGAAGCGTGGGAGAGGGGAGGGGAGGGGACGGGACGGGACCCACCGAACACAACCACGTATATTCTAGTACCTTCAATTGCTTTGCGACGCTGCGACACTGTCCGCAAACTTTTTACCTGCCTGCCTCTCCGCGCCATGTTCTGCGCATTGTCACAAGGCCTACTACTTCGTGCTACTGATAGCTGTACCATTTTTGGGGATGCTGCGGGTTTTTTTTTCCGCGCTGATCTCTGTTGGGTTTACGACGTCGTGCTGAGATATCCGAATCCCCAACTTCGGAGGGACCCACCTGAAATGAGCTGTACTATGCTGCACAGGCAGTGCGCGCCAAGAATGAGCAAACCAGCAGCTTCACGGGATATGCAGCCTGTCACATTGTCTGACGTGTACATACTGTGCTGCACAGTGTACTCCGACAACTCGCCTGCATCTAGCGTTGCACATGGGAATGATGACTTCACGTTATTATTGCATCCTGCTAACTTTCTGCACCACATGCCGCAATGCTTTCCAGCTGTGAAACGTTCGCTAACCATGCAATCATCGTGAACGTTTGCTGCTTTCTGCTTCACTTCACCATGGCGATGACGGACAGAGAACACGACGGATTGCAGATACTTCAGATCCTATCATGAGTCACTCGCATCTTGCTGCGCTGTCTCGGCATACAATGCATGCAGTGCTGAGCGCTGCAATCAACCCCAAGTTAGCGAAACAGCAAAACACCCAAAGACCTGCAGAAATTTCGACTGGTTTTGCAGTGTTGTATGCTTTTGTATCTGCGGTTTGGCTACTGGCAATCTTCGTTCGGCTGTTCATGGTTCATTTGTTGCCTCGACTTGGCTGTTTTGTCATGGTTATGACATTGGCCATTTCAAATGGGCCACTTGGCCAGAAAAACCGAACATCCGAACGCAAGAAAAACAGACATCAAACTGAATAAGCATAAGACACAAACCCCACGCGTTCCTACAGTCCAGTTGCACTGCTGTTTTGGTCGTTCTGGTCCTGGATTTGAGCTGCATATGCTTTGCTTATGCAGTACTGCGGTGCCCGCGAGAAGCATTTCTACCCCGGGCCGATCCTGAGCGGAGTCTTGCGCATCGGTCCGTATATCTTCTGTTATCTATATGATCGAACCATGTGAAGTGCAACTCTGGCCAAACGAGAAACGTGACCACCTGCGGAGATCCTGCAACAAGGGGCGCCTGTGTAGTGTACACTGGCATCCGTGCTTGAGTCCAGAGAGCCAGACTCAGCCATAGAGCTGCAGGCAAGCAGCCACCAGATCCAAGGCGAGGGAAGTGCACGGACGGTGGTGAAGGCTATGAGGGTGAAGGTCCCAATCACATAGTAGGCTATCCCGGTGATTCCTGGGATGGCCCATGGCTCGAAGGGTTACTGCTAAGCGTGTGGACCAATAGCTTCCCCCTGATGCACGGTCGGGTCGAGAAAGCTAGCAGGAGTGGAAGGTCTTTGTAATGAGTCTAGTAGAAGCAGCATCACAGTACTTTGACAATCATTTTACGTCGTCCAGAGATTTCTGGCCACACGAGCGTGTGCACAGGACAAACATGATTACGGCGCCAAGCGCAAGGCCACCCTGAGGTTTGACTGCAACAAGTCTGTCACGCATGCTGAGTTAGCAAAGCTGAGAACTCCTCACGTACACGCGCTTCAACTGTCACAGCTATGACCATGACTACAAAACTCAGGCGGAAGACCACCCCCTTGAAATGCAAGCAAGGGTCCATAAAGAGGGAGAAAGTATCCAGCGGTCCACGAAAGTGAGGTGGAAAGCTCCGCGGCAATGAAATAGAGCACATAGTAATTACCTCAGACATCGGCGGCGTCTGCCATGAAGTCAAGGCACTGCTCATTGTGTTTCTCAGAGCTGGTGTCGAGACATCCGGTCGCGCTTTGCGGCCACTCTCGTCGTAGTCGGGCATTTCGTGCATGCACATGGCGGCTATAGTCGTTCTTCCGAACAATGGAGAATGGCTCGAGGACGGAAATTACCAAGATAAGCGTGCCACTCGGAGGACCCCAAAACTGCAAATCCTACAAATCCCCGACTTCCTATTCCAGACCCGAACAAGAGCAGAACCTCCTAGATTCCACGGCCTTCGTAGCAATTACCGGTAACCCTCCGGTGACCAGAAGAATCGAAGCGAACACAAAGACGCCCGTTCGTTGGGTCATGCGACCGGCTCTGTAGTGGAAGCTCAACGGCCAAATCAGCAGACACAGCCCGTGGTGCATCAGCATGAGCTTTTCCGCAGGCTTGTCTCCTCAGTCTTGTGGAAAAAAGTTGGAACTCAGTGATAATGGACTAGAATGGACTAGCCAACCACTACTTCCCGTCCTTTGGAGTGGCGCAGAAGACGTTTTTGGAAAGACCACGGAGAAATTGTCACCCACAAGCCCATCTGCTACCCAGCTGATCATAAGCCCAAATCTGCTTTCAGATTAGATTCTTGGCCTGGTGTGGTTTGCCTGAAAACTGACGACCAACATAGCATCGATCCTAAACCCTGAACCAAAACAAGACGGAAGACACCCATCCTCGCCTGGGCATCCAGCAGTGACTCTGCCAAGTAGACCTTCTAAGTGATCGATGGATATGGAAAAACGCAAGCCAAACATGCACCGGCCCAACCCTTTTTTTAAGAATAAACCTCAGGTCTGCATGCCCGATGGCTCATAAACATCATCATGTTCAGGAGGTCGTACGCAAAGTAGGCCAGGATAAAGGGCAGCACCTACTCAAAACTGCGTACCACCAAGCAGGGCCGAAGTTCAGAACGTGCCGCCATAGGAAATCGTCTAGAGTCTAGAGCTCTTGGGCAGCGACGCAGGCGAAACACTGCTTCGGTTTCCCTGGCTACTCGAGTGCTGGTGGTGGATGGGTCGTCGTGTTGGGCTTTTCAAGGAACGGCAACAGCAAATCAAACCTCAGGCACACCTCAGTGACAACAAAACGAAAACGCAAACGAAGAAGGACCTCGGATGTCTTGTGAGTGCGCTAAACAAGCATGCTGGCCACGGAGACGACGGCAGAATGGAAACCCCCACCCGCTTTCACCGCTTTCCCCATCCCTTCCTTCTGCTTCCTGTTGCAGCACGACATAGCACGACACTACGATAATGGATGCAAGTAGCCAGTCTGCGATGATGCTGCTGCTCATGATGGTGCTGGGTGCCGGTGTTGGTGCTGCTGGTGCTATCGGTGGTGGTAAAACTGTACTTACTGTCAGAATCGTGGTACCCGCCTGCTCCAGTGATCGAGAATAGCCGTGTACTGTGTCGATGGAGGTCTCGAACCGGAGCACCTCCCGAACAGGTGAGAATGTTTCCAACTGAACACAACGGCTTATAGCAAGAACAGTTCACAGCTGTAGTCTCAGTCACACCAAGGCAGGAACAACAGCACCGGCAGAAACGACGACAACAAAACCGCAACATAATACTGACTCGGACTCAGAAACCCATCAAGTCAAAACCAACTGCCAGTGTCGAAGCACCGTCGAGTGGTCCACAGAGGGGTCAATTTGACAAGTGATGGGAACACTCCGCGCCTACCTGTCCACTATCTATCTCAGATTTTTACGCAAGACCAACTCAACCTCCTCGAATAAAAGCATGCCGGGACCTTGGTCGTCGTGCTCGCGAACGGCTCCTCTGGGATTTGAGCTCTTTGGCGACTGCAGGCTGAAATTCCAGGTTTGATCTGTTTAAGCTGGTGTCCACTAGGCACCAGATCTAAGCCAATCTGAAGACCTTGCCGAGGGGTGATGTCCACTGCTAGCTACAAGTAGCACGTAGACTCACTACACATCATCAAGCATGTGGTAGCTGGAGATGCACCCTTACATTTTCAAACGTCACACGGTTCCTTTGCCGTTTTTCAAGAGGGCAAGCCACTTTTCCAGCTTAGCCTCCCATCCTTTGGACAAACCACGTGAGGTCCGCCAGCCTGAACTCATACTGTGAAGGAAGTTAATCGTAAGCTCAGAAGCGTCCAGCTTTCATGTATTTATGTGTCCCGCCAACTCGAGGCAAAATGTCTCGCATTGTCGAGGTGAACAAGGTATCGCCCCATGCCCCTTCCATCACTTCTCTTGGCGGGACTTGGTGTTTCCAACCTCGTACAGCAGCGCGTAGGCGCCCACAGAGCCAGAGATCAACGCCTGGCGAGGTCAGGAACCAAAATAAATGAAGAATGCGCCCTCTGAGCCTGAGACGCATGAGACGCCCCAACCGCACCACTGTGCCCAAAGTCTGCCCTTTCCGATTCCGACCCTCAAGCTTCAAGAAAGAAGCAAGCGGAATCACTGCTGTTCTCCCTCGGAGTGATTAGTAGTTAGTAAGTATATACAATAATAATAATAAGCATTATAATGCTTGTTATTCTGATAATTATAGTTACAATCGTCGTCGTCGTCGTCGTCGTCGTCCTCGTCCTCGTCCTCGTCCTCGTCCTCGTCCTCGTCCTCGTCCTCGTCCTCGTCGTCGTCGTCCTCGTCCTCGTCCTCGTCGTCGTCGTCGTCGTCGTCGTCGTCGTCGTGGTGGTGGTGGTGGTGGTGGTGGTGGTGGTGGTTGGAAGTATGAGTACTCTCATAGTTTAGTCATGGTCCTCTTATTTTCAGTTTAGTATCAGCAACTGTTGCTGTTAGTACTATTTGAGGCACACCTGAAATTTAAGCCCCGGTGCCTGAGAATTGGAAATCAAGAGGTTGGCCCACTCGTTATGATTCACTTTGAAGTCTGGTCCTTGGTACTGTCTGGAGACCCACTGAGAAGGTCCGGGAGAGGCGGGGCTTCACGGTCAAGTTGTTGTCAGTTCTTTCCCCAGTGCTCGGTATGGCAAAGCCAACCTTAAAATCATAGCTGCGTGCTGCAAAACGCAGCTTAGCCGACCTTGATTCTATGTTGGATCGTCTAGAGAGATCCAGGCATCGCACTGCGATCGCTAGGATCTCCATCTGCAAGCTGAAACTGAACCCTCAGAGCTTCCCGGAAAGCCAAGGAGCGGTGTACTCGTTTTGACAACCATACCAGCAGCCAGTGCACCGCCTCGAAGAGAGGAAACCTCACCCACGTTCCGAAGCTTTGCATACAGGGCGGCTGCAGATGTCGAAGAGTGAAAAACAGAACCCGGCTGCAACAGGTGAGCAGCACTGGTGGTAGACACAACCAGAACCCCATTAAATCCATAGCTACACGACGGGCAGTTGTAAGCAAGAACTTCAACTCCCAGTGTTTCTACGAGTACCCAACAGGCCAAAAGGTTGTGGGGAATCGTAGGAAAGGACCTGTGCGGTCGTCGGTTTGGAGCTTTCGGAGGTCGTTGTAAACGCCTTTGGCCCTGCACACTATTGAAAGCCTGCTTGAATCATGTTCTTGGCAAAGTTCTTCCTCGCAGCATACGGACTTGATGTCGGCTTCCCCAAAGATCCTATTCGTGATCTTGGGTGTGACCAGCTGCATTGCCGCATGACAAGTGCAGAGCCACCATCCGGAGTCTAGAAGAAGCTGGCAAATTGGTTGCTCCGGTGTCTGGGTGATTTCAGGGGACACTGTGAATGCTGCCAGGAAGGCCTTCAGGTTTGGAGCGTCTAGTCTTCGTCCCAATTCATCACACCACACTATCGAGAGTACAGGTAAGAAGGCAAGGCTCACGCCGGAACACAGTGCTCCATGTCTCTCGCAACCCTCCTGTGCACTCACCTTCCCCTCTGCATTGCCACCTTCAGATTAATTCGCGAACGTGTTCTGCATGCTGCCCAGGAACCATCGCAAGAGCGATGTTAAGATGTAAATGCCGTCTTCCGCCATGGCAAAGCTGCAGAGAAATGCGTATCAAACTCTTAGCTCTCAGCCTCGTAGCTAGGAGTTTACGGTCTCGGGTTTCGGGCCCAATCAGGCTCCACAAAATGTGATATGTGAGCAAAAGCCCTAAGGTTGCCGAATGCTACTTCGAGAAAGCTCGTTCTTGTGAAAGGCACAAGTCAATCAGCAGCAGAGACTAGCATGATTGACATGCAGCCAGATATCCCAGCTGCCGGGTGAGATTGCTGAACACTAAAGAGGGCAACCATACTAAACTTTCACCAAGGCTTCAAGGAAAACGGACTCATGGTGCATAGATCACACACTCCAATTCTCGGCATCTCCTAAAACTGCCGCGCTCCATGGCAAAGCCGGGCCCCTCTACAACAGTCCGACTCTGGAACTTGCCCAATGCCTGTAGCAAGCACAACGACTGTTTATGCCAAGTCACCACATCTGCTGTCTCTGTCCTCTGCATATCGGCGACCTCGGCTTCCACCAACTGCGCTGCAGCATGTGCCAGGCTACGAGATTTTAACATTAACATGGTCATAGGCCCTAGTGATTACCGAGAAGCCGAAGCTTATCCAACGGCTTCAGTCCAGACCGGGAAGGTTGCCGGATCTGCGGGGTGCCAACAGAAGCCAACAAGCCAGAGGTTTTAGGATTTACCGCGGCTTGCGTTTTGTGCAAGGAGCTTTTCTCTTGGCCCAAAAACTTGCAGCTTTCCGAGGGCAAGGTTTTATCATTTGTGCCAGGATTGTGCCATGTCGCGCTAAGGGTTTCAACAGTACCTCGACGGAGTGGGGCATCCATGCCCATCCTCATGATATATTGGCAACGATAAGGCCGTGCCACACAACGAATCAAAACGGAATGAAACGAGCAGGGCATGTAGACTCATCTAGCATTCTCAGGATGTACTGCAAGACCGTAAAATTGAATGTGACCCAAAACAATGCAAAAGTCCAGGATGATTCACTGTAGCTGATAACACCACTTAACGGAACTACTTTTGAACATTCTATGCTTTTCAGTGACTCTTCAATGATTCAATCATAATCCAACTGACTATCCAACAGTACTCCAGAAGCACCCAGAGATGCGTGACGCACTTCCGATCAGCGTGATTTGGGCCCAATCCGAAGTCACGTGAAGTCATGTTCTGGCTTGACACTTGCTATGAACCACATCGTGCGACAACCGGGCCGAAGATTGTACGTGATGCAATGTGTACTCCAGACTACAGACAGGAGGCGTGCTGCGTCACCGCCTTGATCATCGTTTGCAAGGCTTCCGCCTGAATCCCGTCCGTGGTAGAAGCTCATCAGATGTGAAGTCAAGGATGTTTGGGGTACATGCTTCCGGCTTCAGCTTATCAAACGATGGGAGCGGCAGGTTTTGTCCAGGTTGCGACAGGATTCACGTGCTGAAACTGGCCAGCATCACCAGTACTGGTGCCCGAGACTCCATGTCAAGAGGCATCGTGGAGTCATGGACGGGCGACCTGCCTTGACACCTTCCACTTTGGACCTCATCATCCTCCCGACGAGCGAACAATCTAAGCATCGTTTCCATGAGGTCTTTTGCGAGGTCTCAGCCACGAGTCAGAAGCGCACCCACAGCTCGGAAAGCTGAGGCCATTCTCCAAATTGCAACATGCACTGCACCACAACACAATGCCGCAGCTGGCCTGCCAGCGCAAGAAAGGATGGTGTCGAGGCAAAACCCCATACAAGCCCTTTGACTTACGGCTGCCATGCCACAACTTCCGTGTCCACCGGCTCAATCCTCAGCTCATCTGACCAACCAGTCTACTGCAGCACGAGACGACTCCAGAACTTGATGCAGGGCTCAGGATTCAAGGCGTCGGCCCTAAATCCTGGATGTTGGCTAAGGCTCGGAGACGTTGCAGTTCATGGTTCGAGGATTTCGACTGACTCTGAGCGTGCTAGGGAAGAAGAAATACCTAATGCAAGTTTGAGTGCAGCTGCCACCGTCGCAAACCCTCAGAAGTTCGAAGCTGATAGCTCAACTTCGGCAAAGCAGAGGTCCGCACAGCTCCTCCTCGATAAATTCTATTCATATTCTTCCTGTGGGCCAGTGGTACGGAAAGCCTGGTCGCTCTGCATCCCCGGTTACCTTGAGTCCGGAAACACCAATTCCAAGCAGCACTCCCTGAGCTCGTACTGGCTCTAATTACCCAGCTACTGTACTGGTAGGCATGCAGGAGGTTCCTGGCTTCAAAGAACAGAGTTCCCAGCGAAGTTTTCAGGACCTGTACACCCTGGGTTTGAGTCTAAAGCCAAACAGAGGCCTCAAGACCGTACCAAGCCCTGGCACCTCGTCACTGAGATTCCGCTGACCTCCAAGCCTGGAGCACAGCTCCGAAAATCCGGGAAAGGCTCCGCCTAGGCCTTGTATTTTAATTGGAAGAGCTCATAGTCGTACTCTCTCACCATCGCTTTTGTCGTGCTTCCTTCCTCTCTGTCTCCACCTTTCCCACGTGCATGTCTAGGACCCTAGGACTGCAAGCCCCCACGGGCATCTGCAGAAATGCCGGTGCTTAGGTGTGGGTCTTGGGATTTGCTTCCTCGATTCACGTTGGAACCCATGGTCTGGCAGCCCAAGCCTGGAGAGGTGAAAGCCCGGCTCAGCTGCATCAAGCCACCGCTTGCATCCCCAAATTCTATTTATAGAGCCACAGTAGCTCCCAACGACCAGTGCGAGTATGCCCTTAAAACCCATCCATGACGCTCGAGGGCACAGGCCTCGCTGCACGACGAACGCATCCGTTTTGAGCGCCTCACCGAGCTGCTTCTGTCCAGCTCTCGGGGAGGGTATCGAGCCCTGCCTGCCTGCACCTTCTTGCCTCTGCCAGCTTCGTAAAACTCACACCAACGAGTGTGTTAGTTGGAACTAAGGGTAGCTGGGTCGCCAATGGACCGTAACACAATGCCTTGTGAAAAGATCTACGCTGATGAGAACATGGTCTCTGGGGCAACCTTTCGAAGCAGGGCTGGGCGGTGGAGCTGGACTTTCTGTGGACGTGGGGCATGTGCGAGCAGAGCCTTCCCCCCAACTGAAGCGACTTCGATCCCTGCCCGTTCAGCGCGAATCGCAGCATAGTGGGCATAGTGGGCAGAGTGCTGCGATGTTTTGACTGTGGACGGCGCATCAGCAGAAGATCGGCTTTATAAAGTCGAAGAATCAGAAGTTCATCGGAAAATGCGGTAATAAATCACACCCGCAGCTCATCGAAACTTTAATCAATCCAGAACTCCGATGTCCCGACCCCAGAGCCGCGCAAAACAGCTACCAGCAGGTTTGCCCCGAATCCAGGCCTCCGCCGTCTCATTGGTGACTTCCGCGACACGCGACTGGTGCACAAGCAGTCGAAAGTAGGCCCCGAGAAAAAAACGCCTCAATACTAAGCCTGGCAATTGATCATAAGCTTTACAACTTACAACAATTAAAATCTTCGAAGCTTGGCAATGGCACATGCTGCATGCTTCAAGCTCTCAGATGAGGATTCCTTCGCAGCTGGTTGCACGGCAGATCCAGAGGGATTCTGGGAGCTATGAGCAGAGCACAGACAGCAGAGATTCGGAGGAGCCCTGAAACTCCTACTCGCTTGGTTCCCTGCAGCTCCATGCCTAGCCCTGAACCTGACCTCAAGTGACCGCTCAACCCGGCCTTCTAATTACTGTATACTGCACTGACACTCACTACAATAGTATAATATAATATAAGATCATATTATTTAATTTAATATAATATATACACCTAGGCAAAAGCACCCACCCACCCCCCTCCGGCCATGAAGTCGCGCAGCTGCACTCGTCCAAGGGCCGACAACAACGCGGCCTTACGGAAGTTCATGGCAACCCACGTGAATCATTATCGTTTCCTGCCTGCTCTCACAACTTGTCGAGACGAAGTTCTACTGCCACTTGGTCGGTTAATGTGTCTACTACTGCTGCTGCGAAATTGTTTCTGAGTGCCACATTCTTTATTGCCCGCACTGTTGATGATGTCAGTGCAGAAAGACCTGCTCTCGGTCGTTCTGGCTGACCTGAGTTTGGCTAGCCTCGGGCGCTCTTTATCGCTCTTTCTTGAGATCCTTCTTCTGATAGAGCCATATGTTTCTTCGTCTCCTGTTCGTTTGACTTTTCTGGCAGGTGGCAGTGGCAGTTACATGGTCATGAGCCCGAATATCCGGCCTGCGTGCCCGGTGATGATCTACTATTCTAGCTACCTGTGCAATGTCTGTTCTCTCTCTGATACCTCGCTACGTTGCTGCTGATGTTTGCAACAGATGACTGATGCCATGATGCGATGAGGGTACCCCGTCGACAAAGCTGAGTTCCTTCTTTGCAGTGGTGTTGAAGATGTGACAGCCTTTCTAGTTGCTGTTGCTCGCACGTCTGCTGGACGAGCGGTAGAAGTTGTCGTCATCGTCGTATCCGTCTGCGTTTAGGACTGGCTAGACCTGCTCGCCGTGGATGCGTCGCAAGACGGCCCACATCAGGAACAGGCTAGCTTCCCCAAGCCCGGCAGCTGCTTGCGAACGTCAACAATCCGCTGCACCCCGGGCTTCTGGCACGCGAGCGCTGAAGGATGTCCCCCGGTGCGTCCTCGCAGCTCTGGGCCTTGTAAAAGACATGCAAGTCGCAGCAAGTCTAGATGGGGCTTGGGCTCTCGCCCTGCACTTCATGCGTTGGTGTCAGAAGCTGCACGCGAAGTCTTCTGTTGCGGTGTTCCGGTCTGCGCCCACCGCTCGGTCCGCAAACAATCCATGACAGAAAGGTTTCAGCAAGCTCGAAAATCGGGGATCTGCTTCCAAAGAGGAGCGAGCCGAAGCGGCCAAGAAAACGTCCAAGCACTATCAGAGTGCTCTGCTTCGCCGACAACTAGTCTATCAACCCTGCTACAATAGTGATCAGACAGTCGTTGAAGGTTTGGCCTTTCATGTCTTAGAACAGCATCGCTTAGCCGGGACACCA